TAGATTTTTGTGTCCGTATTGCAGCCACATGGTTGAGTACCAACGTAAGAGGCCCTCAATACATTTGCTAGGTAAGCCGACCAAGCGAGTGGCCTACAGTTTCTGCAGGGTTTTTCATTTGGCCTCCCAGCAGCATTTGACACAGCTGGCCACCCCTTCCTCCCTAATAAACTTTTTTCCTTGGCTTTCCTTCCTCCTTCCTAATAACCCCCTCAACCTTGCTGTTGCTCCTTTTCCACCTCCTCTGTAGGACCTTTCCCAACATTAGTGCCCCGAGGCTCAGACCCTGGTTCTCCATCATTCCACATCCTCATCTGATCTCTGTCTTTTTTTCTTTCCCATTGCCCTTAACACTTTCTAACATAACATAAAATTCATGAATTTATCATGTTTACCCTATGGGGTTCCCTCTGCCTCACCCCACACCCAACTGGAATGTACATTCTACAAGCAAAGATTTCTAACTCTCTTGTTCACTCACGAATCTCAAGCATCTAGAATAGTGTCTGGCACATAGTACATACTCAATAAATAGCTTCTGAACGAATAAATGATTTTTAAACTTTTTTTATTATGGAAAATGCCAAACATACACAAAAGTGGAGAATAGTACAATAAATTCCCAAGAACCAACACCCAGGTCCACAATAACCAACACGTGGCCCATCTCTTGTCATTTGTGACCTCACCCACACCCCTCCCACCACTGGATCATTCAGAACCAAATCCAGGACTCATGTCACCTCATCAGCAAATATGTTTATCTTTCTATGAATGAATAAATTCCTCATCGTCTCTCTCCGATTTAGACTATCCCTATGAGATGTCAGGTAAACTTTTCAAGGTCCAAACTGAGGTCACTTCTTGGTGAGAGGTGTGGAGGAAATCATGAAACCCTCAACCATTAAGAAAATTCCACAGCGTTCTCAGGGAGGGCCTGGCAATTTACAAGGGCACTCTGTTGCACAATGAACAGGGCGCTCCCACTCCAGAGACCCATCTTGGTAATTTATAGGCAGGCTTTCCACAAGTCATAGGAGGGTGACAATAGAAAATCCAGATCAATAGGACAACGACCCAAGACACCTAGGGGAATTTTAATCAATTTTATTAACTGCTAGTAGCCCTTAGAAACCAAGCAGTGTTTATTTTGGGGGAGAGTTTCCATTTCCACCAACAAATAAACAAAAAATTCCATTTTAACCAATGAGAACTTTATACTGCTTTTTTTTTTAACTCTGCTGAATAAACAGTATTTAATAGATGAAGTATTTGCACTAGAAAACTCTCAAAGTGCTAGGAAACTACTCCACCCCACCACCTTAAAAAAAATACGTAGTGATTATAAACATTGGCTCTGTAGCCAGGATGCCCCCATAAAAATCCAGGCTTCTCTATTTACTAGTCTTACCTCCTTCTGCCTCACTTTCTTCATATGCAGAATGGGGATCATAGCTGTACCTCTCTCATACGTTTTTGGGAGAAATAAGTGGGCTTATAGGAAAGGACATATTTATAAGTAGAGCAGATGATCGACTCTGCATTCAATTCATCCCGTTTTGTTATGTTGATTTTGGGGTATCAGTATATTGCTTTAAGCTGTTCCTTCCAGGTACAAAGCTGACAGTGTTTGCCCATAGACCGCGCGTTCCGGTGTCCAGTTTAAAGGTTATAGAAACCTTAATTCGCATATGCAAAACATCGGGGCGGGGCCCACGGGCTCCGCCCCGCCCCCGCCCCGCCCCTATCTCCAGCGCCTGGATTAGGGCGAAGGACAGGCTGCCGGTCCCTGGGCCGTGTTATCCCGGCATGTGAGCGATCTGGCGAGCAGAGAAACCCCCTCCTATAGGTAAGAGGAGCTCTGGGAGGTGAATTATCGAGGAGACGCCCTGGCCGCAGCACCCACCCACGCCTCGGTTTCGGGAGCGCGGGCGGGGCGAGTACCTGCGCTGCGGCGGGCGGGTTGGGACCGGCCCGGATTACATCCAGGAGCCCGAGGTAGGGGGCAGGCCGTGCCTCGTGCTGGCGGCTGCGGTGCTGAGACTCGCCCAAGTAGGTTTGGCAAGGATGGCTCACTTTCAGCCATCTGGAAAAGCAGATTAAATAAAACCACGATTCTGTTAAAGGGCCGGCATCCCCCATGGTTACACTCGCGTTCACAGATTTTACTTGAAAAGAAACAAAATTCCAAATCCCAATGCAGGAATGGCGAAAAGTCCTAGTGAGGAAAAGAAGGGGGACTTTAAAGTTAAGAGACCCGGGGCTCCATTGGGACTACTCTAATTACTACTAAAAGAAAACACAACCATACCTTACAATAATATTGGAAAGGATACCTAATTCATCAAATAACATGTCTAACAATTATTTGTCAAGTCATTGTTGCTACTGTCAATGTGCAAAAGGTTGGAGCTTGCAGAGTGCTTCAAGTTCGAAAAGGGTGAAGGAAATAATGTTTTCTAAAAATACTCACACATGAGTGTTTTGCTTGACAGGTGTCAGAACACATCGGTGTCTCCTAAGGCAAAAGCTGTGTTTTCATTAAAGTACATATTTTAAATAGACCAAAACAAAGCTAACTTCCAAATAGGTTTTTCTTCAAACTGTCTTAGCAGTAGCTGACATGGACAAAAACACTAGTTTCTTTTGGTCATTATTGGTTATGTACCAATAACAGTTTCTGAAGGTTGGGTAATGGGAAATGCAAGTCAAGCATAAATATTCAAAGATGAATTTATTTGGCCTGCTGCCCATTAGCAGTTTAGGTGAAATTATCCAGTGTGTACCTTTCTGAAATTGCTGTCTCTGATCTATGAGTGCCCAGCTGTGAATTTGGTTGAATTTTCAATGTGTGCTTGTGTGAGGGCAATGAGAAGGAAGCTGTATTGAGTGCCTTATATGTGCCAAGAACCAGATTGGGCAGTTCCTGGGACAACTTTGGGAGGTGGCTGTGATTATCCACATTTTAAGAATAGGCTTGGAGAGGTTAAGTACGTGCCACAAACAGAGGTGGGGCCCAGAGGAACATGAGCTTCGGATTTCGAAGTCATGGTCTTTCCACTGGACCGCACTTGCCGCCACAAACCCAAACCTGGAGAGAAAAAAAACTAAGACTGGGAAGGTCTGCAGGGAGAGGTCAGGATATTAAAGCTGATTTGGTAATTTAACAACTGTCACCAAATCACTTACCTTCAGAGGAATAAGTTGGAGGTTATTTGGATAGGCTAGAGGCATGGTGAAGGATAAGTATTAAAGGTAACTTTCGGAAAAGGATAAAGTCGTGACTCTCATGCAAATATAAAAATGAACATGTGTTAAAGATTTAGTTAACTCACTAGTGAGGAAACTGGTAAGGCTGTTACAACCAGATCAAAGGAGAATCCAAAGAATGAGTACATTTATAGATCAGGAATATTGAAATAGAAGTAAAACTGGTTTTCCATGGGGGACAGGGGAACAGTTCCCTTTACTGGACAGAACTTACTTGCATGTCTATAGACAAGAATTATTGCACAATGCTATCAGTTGCTACAATTTGCAGAGGTTTTTTTTTATTTTATTTTTTGTTTATTGCAGTAACATTGGTTTATAACATTGTAAAAATTTCAGGTGTACATCATTATACTTCTATTTCTGCATAGATTACATCATGTTCACCACCAAAATACTAATTACAACCCATCACCACACACATGTACCGAATTATCCCTTTCACCCTCCTCGCTCCCCCCTTCCCCTCTGGTAACCACCAATCCAATCTCTGTCTCTATGTGTTTGTTTATTGTTGTTGTTATCTACTACTTAATGAAGGAAATCATATGGTATTTGACCTTCTCCCTCTGACTTATTTCACTTTGCATCATACCCTCAATGTCCATCCATGTTGTCACAAATGGCTGGATTTCATCGTTTCTTATGGCTGAGTAGTATTCCATTGTGTATATATACCACATCTTCTTTATCCATTCGTCCCTTGATGGGCACTTAGGTTGCTTCCAAGTCTTGGCTATTGTGAATAACGCTGCAATGAACACAGGGGTGCATGTACCTTTACAAATTGGTGTTTTCAAGTTCTTTGGATAAATACCCAGCAGTGGAATAGCTGGATCATATGGTAGCTCTATCCTTGATATTTTGAGGAATCTCCATACTGTTTTCCGTAGTGGCTGCACCAGTTTGCACTCCCACCAGCAGTGTATGAGAGTTCCCTTCTCAAAATGTCTCAAATAATGCATAGTTTTTCCTTGAAGCACAAATTTTTCCCCAGCTCCACCCCAACCCCTGTATTCGACCGGTTACCCAGGTGCATTTCAATGGCTGCACATGATCAGTTGAGTTTCTTTGTAAACTGTCCGCCAGTTTTATGGTTTTGATAGGGATATTTCTCCATCTGCATCTGAGACTGGATTGCTCTAACCATAGACATTCAGAGAATAGGCAGTCTGGAACGGGATGGTTAATTCATCAGCAAATGTGTCAGGCAAGCAAAAAGGAATGATGCCGTATGTTACAAAATGGAATCTGAAGCATGTATTTTAAAGATCACTTGTATCGACTCCTGCAATGGTTTTAACCGAGAGCAGAATTCTGGCCTACATAGTTAATATCTAGGCCTTATTCATACTTTGTAAAGTTCTGTGGAGTCCCTCGTTTCAGCAAAGATTCTTGGGTTTTGGTTTTTTGGGGGAGTGGATACGAAAAGGATTTTGAGTGAGTGACAGATGATAGGACTACTTTGTGGTTTTCCGCAATTCTAAGTCTCTTAATACAAAATTCTAGAGAAACTCAATTACATTATTTTACTATGAACATTCAGGGAGAAGTGTTTTTGATGTTTATCACCCCAATCATCTGTGTTTCAGAAAGATCTGAATCTGGTTCTCTGTTTTTTTAAAGGGATTCCAAAAGGGGGTGGCTGCAGAGGAGGGTGGGTTCCAGTGTATAAATCAATCAGAGAGGGTTGGGCTTTGGTGTATAAAGCCATTGCTCTTGACTGCTCAGTTCTGAAGGAGGAGGAATCAAGACTTCAATGAGAAGAAGGGGCATTGCGACAGGACTCGCAGTAGCTGGCAGCAGGAAGGAGCAGAAGGTCCATCTGAAGGCAGGAAACTGGACTTGGTTCTAGAAAGAAATAAACTCAGGGCACGGAAGGAACAGGTAACTGATTCTCTTTGTGTTATTTTGAAGAATGTTCTATGTGGCCAGATTTCCAGAATTTCTTGGCCTAAGAAGAAGATTTATGGGCATTGTTTCCATTCTCAATTTTCTAGGACAGACCCAATTTCAAAGCTGCTGTTCTGCTTTCAGATTAAATAGAGGACTTGCCCCATGTGGAATTTGGAAAAGCTTTAGTCGTTTCACCAATAGAAAACAGCCAGGGCTGTGGGGAGTCCTACACAGCAAAATGCTTTGAAGTAGGAGAGGGAGAGGAAGGATGTATTTTTTTAGTTTGAGATATAATTTACATACAATATAATGTATAGATTTTAAGTGTTTATAATTGTATCCACCCATGTAACTATATCCCGTCAAGATATAGAATATTTCATGGCTCCAAAATCTCCCCTCATTCCCCTTTACAGTCGGTTCCCACCCACCCCCACCTCGCAGACGACCCCTGTTCTGATTTCTATCGGCAGTGGAATCATATAGGATGGCCTCTTTGAGTCTGGATTCTTTTTATGAAGCATAATGTTTGAGATTCATTTGTTTTGTTCCATGTATCAGTGGTTCATTTCTTTTTTCCAAGACACCTTTATTGAGATATAGTTTACATATAATAAGTGTACATTGTAAGTGTATAGTCAATGAGTTTTGACAAATGTAAGTTTGTAAGCACTGCCACAATCAAGATATAGAACATTTCATCACCCTAGAATGTTCCTGTGTGCTTTACTGCAGTCAGTCTGTCCCGTCTCCCATCGCACGCAACCACTGATCCAATTTCTATCACTATAGATTAGTTTTGCTCATTTTAGGACTTCATATGTATTAATGGAGTCATACAGTTTTGTGTCCGAATTCTTCGTCACAGCGTAATGTTTTTGATATTCACTCACGTTTTTGTAATAGTTCCTTCCTTTTTATTGCTGATTGAATCAATATTAGTTGCTTAAATATACAATATTGTTTATTCATTCACCATTTAGTGGACATTTCAGTTGCTTCCCATTTTTTCACTATTATGAATACGTGAACTTTCTTGTATAGATTACCAAATGGTTTTCCAAAGAATTTGGTGCCATTTTACATTCCCACAAGTAATGTGTACAAATTTAGTTGCTCTAAATCTTTGCCAGCATTTAGTATGCTAGTCTTTTTGTACTTAGGCATTCTAGTGGTTGTGAAATGTTTTCTGTGGTTTTCTTTTCCAATTTCTTAATGGTATCTCTAGATGAGCAGATACAGTTTTTTGAAAAAATCCAATTCGTCAATTTTTTCCTTTTAAGTTTAGTCCATTTGTCATTTTGATAAAATATTTGCTAATCCCTAGGTCACAAAGATCTGTGTTCTTCTAGATGGTACTCTAACGTACTAGAGTTTATGTCAAATTAGTTTTTGTGTATGGGGTGAGATAGAGATCAGTAAAATGCATTTTAAACAAGATGAAGTCACAGCTGAAATACAATAGCTCACTAGTAATTGGCGAAATCACCCTGCAATCCTGATTTTGCAACAGAGGTGTAGTAATGAAGCAATTCCCTGGAATCTCTTCCCCATGCCTTCTGCCAGCACCAGCCTGCCTTGCCTTAAGCAGACTGCAGCTCTTTGCTTTCTTTGGCTGTTTTACTCCAAGTTGTATTCTCTTCTGTTTTAGTAGTAAGTAGACCAAAAGGCTTAATTAGTTATTATACTCTGATATCAGCTAAAAGCAAATATTTTAGTTTTCAGTAGTCAAACTTTTGGTTTGCTTCTGTGCAATGAGGGGCTTGGCTCTGGCAGTGCTAAAAACCTGAAAGGTGGGCTTTTTTTGGAAAATGTAATAAATACTGACCTTAACTCTATTTTTTTTTTTTTTTTTTTTGGTGAGGAAGATTAGCCCTGAGCTAACATCTGTTGCCAATCCGCCTCTATTTGCTGAGGAAGATTGGCCCTGGGCTAACATCCATGCCCATCTTCTTCTACTTTGTGTGGGACACCGCCACAGCATGGCTTGACAAGTGGTGCATCGGTCCATGCCCGGGATCCGAACCTGTGAACCCCGGGCCGCTGAAGCGGAGGGCACAAACTTAACTGATACGCCACCGGGCCGGACCCCTTAACTCTATATTTAAAAAGGCATTGGGCATTGGGGAGTAAAACTATTTGCAAATGTCATCTCTCTTGCCAAGCTGCCCAAGTCCTTGAGAATTTAGAGGCTGTGAGATTCATGATTATTTTAAATTATCAATCTCGTGCTCTGTTATTTGAGATAGGTGTTTTGACTGCAGTAAATGTTCTGGGGAATAGTGTGAAAATTAGGCCAGCCCACTTCTCTGACATTGGTTGTCTTATCAGGCACCCTTCTGAGATGACTGGAATGTTTAGTTGGGAGGGGTGGACAGGAATTGGGTGGAGACTGGGGATTCTAGATAGTTTCCTTCTAAATTATTGGCATCTTGGTTAATTCTGGAAGTATCTTGTAAACAAGCATGGAAGAAGATTTGATAAAATGGTTCCTTTCCATTGACCCAGTCCCTTATCCTCCAGGCTCTCTGTTGTGGGGAACCTTTGCAAAACCAGGTTTGGGGAAGATCTTTGCTTTGACCAGGTCATCTTGTCCCTTATCTCAGGGAGCCCCACAGCCCTGAAAGCTTTGGCTGTGGGAGCAGAATTCCATCTTCTGGGAGTGGGTGGATGAATCTGATCAACTAAGGTCCTCCATAGCTAAGAAGTCTACCCAAGACTCAAGAGCCAGAAAGCCATCTAGTATATGCCAATTTTTACAGTTCATTTTAATAGTTGCCTATTCTATGCAAGTGGAAATATATATGTAGAAATATTCTAAATACCCAGCCCAACTTGATCATAGTCGAAACACAAGTAAATCTTAAATTTTTTAGTAGATGAAGAAAAATCTGTGCTCACCTTAAAATGAAGTCAGAATAGATATGCTATCAAGGGGATTGATCTTTTGAAGAAGGCTACAGCACCCCACATACCCTGAAGAAAGGGAAGCAGCCATAAAAATATGTGGCCTTCTAGAAATAGACCCCAATTAGAGATTGAGAGAAATTGGAGACTTAGCAGTAGAATACTGAAGGGCCCTTGATGGGACAGCTATGAATTTTAATAAAAAATAATCATTATTCCCCTATCACCAAAAAGAGAAAGGAACACACCATTTCTAAAGTAATTTAAGGTGGGTCACTTCCAATGCAAAGGTGTTGGTGGTCTTTGGGACTCATTCAAGGTCACACGGGCTGGCTGGTAACCCCAACGGTGCACGTGGCAATTTACTCCAAGGGCTCACGTGATATGCTGCACGTGCACAGATGGTGCAGCTGGGTCAGAAGCAGGTGTTCTCTGATCGGCTAGAGGTGGGGAGCAGGGAGACTTCAACCTGCCAGGGGCCTTCAGAGCAGAAGCTAATGCTCAGCCCTTGCTTCCTCCATCTGCTTTTGCTAAGCTAGAACTCTCCCTCTGAAGAGCTCCTCTACCCCCACAGCCCACCAAGGTAAGCTCTATGGTAGATTTAGCTGCTCCAAGTCTCTGCTAGAAGGAGCGGCTGATTCATTCAGCCTTTCTTGTTGCTGCTGGCATCTTCACTGTAGATTTCAAGTCATGATAGCCTAATAGCTGACTTTTTTTGGAGAATGTCCTTTTTCTTTTCTTTCCTTTAACCTACTGCCCACACAATGTTCCTGTACCTTTTTAAAAAGGGTGATGAAGCATATGAGTAATATGTGAGAATTACTGCTACAAGAGCAAAGCACAGAGAATAATGGGGAAAGATAAACATCTTGCTTTCAGAAGTGTCAACTGAGAAAATCAACCCAGTTCATGATCTCAAGTTAGATTCAAAGAAGGGAAGTTTAGAGTACTCTTTAGGAGGAGGATAATATTATGGAGTCAAAATGGAATGATAAATTGAAAAGTGACAAAAGAACACTCAGTCCCAGAATGATGCTTTGTTGGGAAGGCTGTGGTCCTCCCAGACAGGCATGCGAATGAGGGACATGAGTAGATATGAGTCCTATTCTTTCCTCTACAACTTCTAACCCAGTGACTGTGTCCCAGAGTAAGATGTAATGCACAGCATGATCATTTTTGTATATTTATATACTGATAACCCAAACAAAGGTCCAGGAAAAAACAGCCCTAATCTGCAGTGTACTTTGATATTTAATATTTTTTCCTGCAACGTTTGTTTTAAAATCCTATTTGCAACCCACTAAATTCTTTTGACACCCACAATCTGAAAAACACTATTCCAAAATAAACTAGAATTGGAATTTTGAAGATATAACGAGGCATGGAAAGATGATTGAACTTGGAATTAGAAAAACCCGAGTCCAAGTCCAGACTCTGACATTGGTTAAGTGTGAAAACCACACAAATCTTATTGCATGTGGCCCTCAGTTTCCCCATCTATAAAATGAGGACAATACCATCTCCTCCATCTACCTGACAAAATTGTCAAAGAAAAAGTAAAATTATTTTCCAAATGTAAAAATTATAGAACTTGTGTAAGTAATTTGATTATCATTGTCATGGCCACAATGACAGAAAAGAGCAGCATCCCCTCAATGATAAGATAAAAATAAAAGATGGTGATCAGTATTTCCACGCATTATGAGACCATTAGCCACAGGCTTCTCCAGCAGGGGAGAGAACGATTTTGGCGGTACCCAGCTTGTTCGGTGGGAATCCCAGAGCCCACATTGACAGTGCCTTTGGAGGTAGCTGGCAAGAAAATGAGGAGAGGAAAATGTTGAGGTGGTGGGAATGGTACCACAGAGGTAGGAGGCAGCTACCTGTCAGAGTAGAGGGACGATGTGAACTTGAAGCCAACAGACCAGACCTTGAGCTCAGCTGTAACCTTTCTTAGCTGTGTCGCCATGAGCTTTGAGGAGGTTCGGTTCCCATGTCTGAGAAATTGGGGACATTTTGTATATATATAATTATGTAATATTAAATATAATATATAATACAATTATATTTATTTAATATAACAATATTATTTATGTAATAAATATATTTATTGTATTTATACAATTATTTATTATATTATATAAAATATATAATTATATATAAATATATGTATAACATATATATAATTAGGATTGTTCTAAGGATTAGAGACAAATAATTATAAAGAGCAACTAGTCCAGGGGCCGACCCCGTGGCTTAGCGGTTAAGTGCACACACTCCACTACTGGCGGCCCAGGTTCGGATCCCGGGAGTGCACTGACGCACCGCTTGTCAGGCCATGCTGAGGCGGCGTCCCACATACAGCAACTAGAAGGATGTGCAACTATGACATACAACTATCTACTGGGGGCTTCAGGGAGAAAAAGGGGAAAAAAAATGGAGGATTCGCAATAGATGTTAGCACAGGGCCAGTCTTCCTCAGCAAAAAGAGGAGGATTGGCATGAATGTTAGCTCAGGGCTGATCTTCCTCACGAAAAAAAAAAAAGCGACTAGTCCAATGCTTGGTGTAAAGCAGGAACTAAGTGAAAAATAGCTGGTAGGTTGTCATCCTTTTATCTCTGTAAGTTGCAGACTTTTTGTAAGGAAAATAATCACTGCCTTTGGAGGGTGGGTGAAGGGTCGTGCTGGGCTGGCGGATGTCAGATACCTATGTGCTGTGATAACCCAAGGAGCCAGAACCAGGGTATTTTATTCAGTGCTAAACACAGGCATTCCAGGGCCCCTACTGGGTAAGGATTGAGGCTGGATGGGACAGAATGGGTCACAAACAGGGAGTGAGGTGCGCTTGTGAAGGGATTAGTGGTTTGGGCAGGGTGTGAGAGGCATATCCGAAACATCAGAGTCACCTGAGGATTTTTCCACCTGTCCTGGACTCTCCAGGGCCTAGAGGGCCAGAAGAGAGTTTCAGAGTTGCAGGTCTGCGTGTAGCTTTGAAAAAGCTCTCTAGATGATTGCCATCCACCTCCCTCACCACCCTGTTAAGATCCAAGGCTGTGGCATGGAGCCAGCCAGCCCAGTGGATAGATGAGGGACAGTGGTCCTTAGGCCTCCTGCGGCTGAATCACTCAGTGTATAGATGCAGATTCCTGGGCCTTACTGGACCTACTGAATCACACTGTAGGGACGCAGTCCAGGAACCTATATTTTTATCAGGCTCGCAGGTGATTCTGATGTGCGAGTCAAGTTCACACAGTCTTGGCTAACTGGCCAGGGTTGGAAAGGGGTACACAGTGGGGCGAGTGCTGGACAATGAGACCCTGAGTTGGGGGAAGGTGAAGGAAAAGAGTCAGACGTTAGCAGCTGGAGTCTCAGAAGTCTCCCAGCAGGGAGCAGGCAGTGACAGTGGCTGTGGCCCTGAAGGCTGAAGAATAGCCAACAGGTGAGACATGGTCTCTAAAAGGATGTGGGAGCCTCTGCTGCCTTTAAACCAGGAACCTCCAGCTGCTCTGCCCAGTCCTTCTGGGGTCAAGGACTCCTGCTAATGTTTGGTTAGATGCCTTCTCTCATTTCCTCTGGCAAAGCTAGCTTTGGAGCATGTGTTTGTTTCCGTGGGGAGGGAACTGGAAAAAGAAGTGAGGGCAGGAAGCCCAGCAGCCTGGGGTGCAGGGATGAGCTCCCCAAATGTTTCTCAGTTGTTTTCAGCTAAGGTCAGATGCCCTCCCTCATTTTCTCCTCCTTAAGCCAGAATCACTGTTGAGTCCTCCTATATGTGAAGAGAGCAAAGGGAAGAGAAATAACGTGTTCAAGCCATAACTCCATGCCCAACATGGCGCCAAGTCTTTTCCAGGTATCAAGGCCCTCCATGCTCACAAAAAGCCCACACATGCGGTTGGCATTGTTATCCCATTTTACAGATAAGCAACTGAACCACAGGGCACTTGGGGAGTTGAGGGCCTCCCTGGTCTTTACCTGATGCAGCTAGGAAGTGCACTCAGGAAACCCAGACAGTGCTTTATTAGTTCTCAGTGAGGAGGTCTGATGTTCATCCCCTTCCTTCTACAAGACTTACTGTGTGTCGGGCACTCTTCTAGGCACAGGAATAGAGCAGTGATCCTAACAGACAAAACACCCTGCCCTCCTGCTTACACTCGAGTTGGGCGTATACTGTCTATTTCTCCTCGACCTTCCCAACTAAATCCAGTTGGGCAGCAGTATTAGAACAGTTAAGAGATGAAGAAGTCAGTAATCCAGGGGACTCTTAGCAGCCATGGACCGCGGGCATAGTCCTAGGTCTCTGAGATGCATGGAGAACATGATGACTTGGAGTTGACAAGCAATCTGTGGTGAGCATAGACAGAGAGAATGTTCTAGATGTAGAGTCAGCAGATGCTACCCCATTAAGACCACCCTTTGAAAGATGTCCAACCCTCAGTAATTGCCCACTCAGGCTAGCCTTTTCTACAAGAACGTTGCTCACAAGGAAAGAAAGCCACAGCAAACTCCAGCAGTGCTCAGGAAGAAGATGAATGCTTGCATACTGGGCTGAGGGAGGAGGTGGGGGACAAACCCAACGTGCCCTCGGCAAAGTTTTCACATTGTCAGCATTGCTCACAGTTGCTGCAATCCAGTTCCAAATTCGGATTTCCATTGTCTCTGCACTGGTTCGTCAAGGGTTTTGTTGACATAAACGGAAAAAGTGTTCACCTTATTTAACTTAAGAGAGGAACTATGCAGCAGTCTGGGGCCACCTTGTGAAAGGGTAGAGTGGGTGGCAGACCAAGGTGTGACCCAGTAGGCTCTCCCATCCTCCCTGGCCCCTAGCAAAGTTCCCCACCCCCGCTGCATACCTGGAATTCCACCCTGGTGACTTGCTCTTCTGAGTGAACATCATCTTCCCTCTCTCTGGCCCACTTTCAGACTGTAATTACCCCTGGCAGCTCTATGTATTGTATTAAGTCATAATCTTTAGAATGAATGTGTTGGTAAAAACACTTTCTTCCCTCATGGGGAGAGGTTGACATTAGGTTAATACCAACAGCCCAGGAAGAAAGGCCACCAGACTGAGGCAGAGTGGAGCAGGTTAAGGACTCTGATGGGAGTCAGGGAGACCTGGATTCAAATCTTGACCATGTGGTTTGAAGCCAGTTGTTGGACATGTTGGATCTTCCATATACTCACCTGGGAATTTGGGAAAGTAGTATATATTTTGAGTTATTATGAGAATTTAATGAGATAATATGCAGAAAAGCATCATACTCACAGCAGGTTAGTTTCTTTCCTATAAATTGTCTCAGAGAATTTAACCACATCCAAGACCACTAAAAACATATATGCTTTACAAAGTTAATCTAGATCCAAAATGTGAAGGAATGAGAGTGAATTTTCCTGATGCACATTGTAATCCACATGAAAACACAAGATGGCTTCAAATATACCCACCATAAAATAAAGGGTTTTTTTGGTTAGGTTTGGTTTTTTCTGTGCAGTGGCAAATGAGATCCTCCATTGGACTTGCGGTCTGAAGTTTGAATTTCAAGCGATTTCATTTGTGGGTTAGGAAAAACGTATGAGCTATTAATTAGCTACCTGCCCCATTGAGTGGTGTGAAACTGCAGGTTTAGTGAAGAAATGGGCCCAGTCTTAAAGAAAAGTGGAATCACAGTCTAGAAGGATGGCTTCTGTTCTCAACATAGAGTTAGCACCAGTATGGAAAAGGGGAGAAATATGGAAAAGATGGCAAGTCAGATCTTTATCCAGTTTAATTTTTTTAACTGAAGAATTATAAATTCTCAGATTGGAGATGGCTAACAAAAATATCCTGGATGTCTATGATGTATTAAGCACAATACTAAACAAGGGATAGTCCGATGGAGAGATATGTAAATACACACGTGCCAGTCAGTGTGTTAAAGAATTCAGAGTCACAGTGCAAATATAGTGGGCAGATAATAGAAGGTTTTATCAATTCAATCTATGATCTCTTGGGTTTGACCTCCTAGAAGTAACTTACCTACCACATGTACACCAATAATTCCCTAGCCAATGTTTTATACTTATTTTCAAACATTCATTGGCCCACTGTTTACCATTTATTAGTAGCTACTCATTACCATGTTTTTTGATGGAGAACACTAGAGAAGTGTGACTCCACTCCCGGCAATAATGAATAAGAAGTTCCTTAACAAAGGAGAGTTTGATCACCCAAGACATATTTGAGAGCAGTTATTCATCACTCACCTCTCCATTTCGGCTGCAGATGGATGAAACTTTATCCTTTCATAAAACATTTAGAAATAATCAGTTTTTCATTACATCCAAGGACAAGAATAAACGTCAGTTAATTTTGGCTCTATTTCCGTTTGATCAGCCATGGGTTGTTTCCGAACTCCACCGAGCCATTCCTGGATTTATCCCACCGTGGTCCTCTGCTTATTTGGATTTTTCTCCATGATGAGACCCTCAGAACCCTTCCTTATCCCTTATTTATCCGGACCAGATAAAAACCTGACCAGCGCAGAGGTAAGTTAATATACATATGCATCTTGATGTGGTTTAATTTTACAGGACTTGATCAAGGACATGGAGTCAGGGTTTCGTTCAACTTGAAATAAGATTAACACTCTGACTTCAATCAATCCCATTTTCCTGGTATTTGTTATTTGATAGAACTGTTCAAACTACTCTTTCCTCCTCACACTTGCAAAAATGGGAAACCAAAACACACTACATGTGAAATAAATATTTTAACTTTTATAGAGTTCTACCATTAGTCTTACTACATGGGAACCTTTCAGGTCTCCACTGATTCTATTATACTAATCCTAAAATAAAATCACTTCCAGGCACAGGATTGAGTCCTAATAAATTTTCAGGCTGCTGAGGTATAAGCAGGATCTGATAAAGAATTGTAGCATTCTTTAGAACACTTACTCAGTTTTGAAAAACTATATACCAGCAGGTGAGACGTTAGCAGCTTTATCTCTCGGCTTTATCTTCCCCAGAAGGCCAAATTCTCTTACTTAGAAGATCTACTGCTTTTTTAGACCAAGTGCAACAAGAAAATGCACTGACCCAGCTGGAGAATTACCCTGGGCTGGTTTTATAATCTCCAGCCAGAGCTATGAAAACACTACAGGGGGAGGCTTTACCTGGAAGGCTAATTGATGCTGGTTTATTTGGTGATGAGGTGGTAAGGACAGAAAAGCACGCTTGTTGTGCTGTAACATCACTTAGCGAAACTCTGTTTCAAAGTTTCCCAGATGGAAGCATGTCATGATTAAGACAAAGGACACATATAGGTCCAGAATCAGCCAATGGACCTACTGGGATCTGCTTCTGCCAACGCTATGGACTGCTTAATGTCCCCATCCTCAAAAGTGCAGCTCAGTAGCTCTAGCCCTTCAAATCACTAACTTCCCCTCGTCGTTGACCTTTGGACCCGCTGAGGCTGCTGGAGAAAGCAGAGGGGCACAGACCCATCATGCCCCAAAGACCAACAACTTCTTCAGTCCTTTCTTTTTATGAAGGGACATTGAAGTCTCATGCATTTCTGACTAAATCCATTGGATGACCCATATTAAACTGAGGCCAGAATTGAATAAGCAATATTGAATAAGATTGAGAGCCCAGCAGATGTGGCCAGGAAGGAAATTAAATGCATTACTTGTTCCCACTCCATAATTCTGCGAGGTAATTTACTCTTTGCTATCTTCATGTATGTGTTCATCCAGACTTTGGAAGTGCTGATATTTTTGACATAGTGATGGATCAAATAACGATAAATGTTTCTGGATTTGTCTAATGTTATTCTTTGAACAAGAAGGGAATGGTATTTTTTAAGAGCCTTAAAAACCTGGAAGTGTCTGTTGAATAATTTTTAACTAATTGACTCAAATGTACACAATATCTAAACTTAATATAGTTCAGATTGCGCATTAAGCCAATATAATCTACTGGGATGCACTTAAGTATATAAATTGGTTTTGTTGGGGGCAAGGGGCCTCTCTTCACCTAATAGTTTCCTTGAAAATCAGTTTTCTATTGTGCTTTTCCATAATATGAAGAATATTCTACCCAATTGGATGCAGAATTCGATATTGGGAAACCCACACATACCTTAGTAATGTACGTATCAGAGAAAGGTAACCTTCTCACTTCCTGGTGCTTCGTGGTCACACGATCCATTTTTCAACTTTGCAGATCACAAATGAGATTTTTCCTGTGTGGACATACTCTTATCTGGTGCTGCTGCTCCCCGTGTTTATCCTTACCGATTATGTCCTCTACAAGCCGGTCATCATCTTACAAGGGATTAGCTTCATCATTACCTGGCTGCTGCTCTTGTTTGGCCAAGGAGTGAAGACCATGCAGGTTGTGGAGTTCTTCTATGGGATGGTCACCGCCACCGAGGTGGCCTACTATGCCTACATTTACAGCGTGGTCAGCCCAGAGCACTATCAGAAAGTGAGCGGTTACTGCAGGAGCATCACGCTGGTGGCCTATACGGCGGCCTCAGTGCTGGCCCAGCTCTTGGTATCTCTGGCCAGTCTATCCTACTTTTACCTCAACGTCATATCCTTGGTGTCTGTCTCCATAGCCTTCCTTTTCTCACTTTTTCTACCAATGCCCCAGAAAAGCATGTTTTTTCACGCAAAACCCAGCAAAGAAGTAGAGAAGCCATCATACACGAATGCAGCATTAGATGAACCTCATGAGGGTGAAGCAGCAGGCTGCGGAGAGGAGAAACCCACTTCAGTAATACCTACCATGTCGAGGAACCTGGATGATGGCTGGTTGAGCAGCCCAAGGCCCAAAAATGTAGCTTTGAGAGTTTTTGTGCAGTGGTTCCAAGATTTGAAAGAGTGCTACTCCTCAAAGCGTCTTTTTTACTGGTCCCTGTGGTGGGCTTTTTCCACAGCAGGTTTTAACCAGATTTTGAACTATGTTCAACTCCTTTGGGATTACAAGGCACCATCCCAGAGTTCTTCTGTCTATAATGGGGCAGTAGAAGCTATCGCAACCTTTGGAGGTAAGTAAACATTGATTTATCTTCCTTGAAGGGCTACCCCCATCAAGATTGTTTCTCCAGTTGCTAAAGTTCTCCACGGTGGAAAATTGGTTATGTTCAGAAGACATATTAATGTTTTTCTGGAATGGAAGGCACTGGGGAAAAAAAAAAACAGGACGATGACACTTCTATTTAATGTATTATAGTTACAACAGGTAACTCAAGAGCTCAGCCAAATTCCTAAGATTCCATTTCATCATGAGAAAAAGTGTTAATAATCTCCCCTGTTCTTCCAGAATTGTTTTTAATATCAAAAGGAAAATACACATCTTGTATATCAGTAAAGAGTTTTTGTTATTTTAGAAAATGAACTATTAAGGCTTCCAGATTATCCCTGGAAGAGTTTTTGTTAATAAAGGATTAGCTGGCGCCCACCGTTAGCAATTCTAGGCTGTACACCAAAAATTTTCACAAGTGGCTTTCTTATGAGATTTAAATGAGGGAAGATATGTGACAGTCAGGATTCTAATATGAGAGGGAAATCTACCTTTGAAGTTTACTCTACAATAAATATTTATATCCTGGTAAGTGGAAACTTAAATTCAACTGAGACTTTGAAGATATTTTCTAGGAAGTTGGAAATTTCCACACCCTCATTTACAAAAATTTCAGAAAACTCATGTGGTATCCGTTTTATTATTGTCTTCCTTTTGGGAGGCTTCATTTTAACTCCTAAAAACCAAGACTGTGCTGGAATTGGTTCATTGAAATTATTTCTCCTACATTCCAAATTCTGGGGGAAAAAATAGTTTTATTTCCTTTGTCGTAATGGTTCTTTCCTAGATCACATGCGGAAAAGTTAATTAATCAAATGTCAGTAATTTGAAACATAAATGTCTTTCATTTTGTTAAAGAGAACTATAATTAGTAACCCTAATTACTGGCAATTATTCAATCTCTTAAACTCTATAAATCAATATAAGTCTGTTCATCAAAAGTCTCAAGTAAATTAGGCCAGATCTTGAAGACATTAAGATGGAGACTAGAGATAAGGTTAAGATTAAGAAAGATTAATAACGAAGACTAAAACTTACCACCTAATGCAATACATTTGTTACCCATCATTGACGTTACCCATCAAAAGAACATATGATAAAAAAAACATTAAAGAAAGGCAAATTTGGACAAGCCAGGTGTACTCCCAGAGCAATTGTTTCTTCCTTTTCTATCTCTGCCCTTAACATGTTGTATTAAGTGATTGAGTTTATGTATCATTTCTCCCCGCTCTGCTGTGGTTAGGAACCTTTGTGGCCTCTCTCCATTGTACAGTGCTTGGCATGTATTTGATGCTATTTGAAAGTGTGAGGACTAAATGATTGAAAGAATAGGAAGTAAAAGGAGAAGCCAAAGGAAAACCTGGTTGAGAAATGATAAATCCACATTTAAGTGGATCACACTATTTTCACAAATTGTGAAAGCAATATATTCATCTTTTAGAATTTCTTCAGTTTCTAAGAGAGCATGTTGATACTTCCCATGCACCAAGTCAATATGTTTCATCTTCCTTAATGTTTCTTTTTCAGGGGCTGTGGCTGCATTTGCAGTGGGTTATGTGAAAGTCAACTGGGACCTTCTGGGAGAGTTGGCTCTGGCCATCTTCTCAGTTGTCAATGCAGGCTCTCTCTTTCTCATGCATTACACAACCAACATCTGGGCATGCTATGCTGGCTATTTGATATTCAAGTCCAGCTATATGCTTCTTATAACCATAGCAGTGTAGGTATTACCAACCATTTCTTTCTACTCCTAAAACTAAACTATATTTTCTTTTCTGTTTTCCTATAGTGTCTTTGAGTACTTCAGAAAGATTTTAATCAATTGCAATATTAAATGTTGACTACTTCATACTAAATTAGACAAAATTAAGCCATCTTTTCACTTAACTCTTTGCCCTCTGAATTTTACTAAGATTAGTCATCAAGGAAAGAAAGTTCTGTAGGTTCATAAATCAAAAGTAATGGTATGTTGTCAGGTTGTGATTTTTTATTTCAAGCAATCTGCCATAACAAAGGGTGGTTCAATCTGGTTTTGAGTGATTAGGTTTAGATTTCATCCTTAATTTCATTTAATTGCTTGAGTAATTCTGGGCATATGCTTTTGTGTGAAACAAAATATTCTCAGCAAGTTATAAAAAGTAGGATACTGAAAAATATAGATGCGAAGGTTACAAGAAACTGGAAATCCCAGAGACCATTTTCTAAAAGCAGTTAAAACAGGGGCTGGCCTGGTGGCATAGTGGTTAAGTTCACGTGCTCCACTTCAGTGGCCTGGGATTCACGAATTTGGATCCGGGGCCCGGACCAATGCACTGCTTATCAAGCTGTGCTGTGGTGGCGTCCCATATAAAGTACAGGAAGATGGGCACAGATGTTAGCCCAGGGCCAGTCTTCCTCAGCAAAAAAAAAAAGAGGATTGGCAACAGATGTTAGCTCAGGTCTAATCTTCCTCCCCAAAAAAAGAAAAAACAGTTAAAACATTTGGTTCCAAATATAAGTGCATAGAAAGCTGACTATAGGAAATGGCTTTGATATTAACCAAAAGAGGTAAGAAACATTTAAATTTCAAATCACGTGAAAGAAGTAGAGACAAAATTTTGACAAGTTTTGTTTTTTAATATGTGAAAAATGTTTGATAAGCAGTTGACAAAACACAGAACTATAAGTACCCTGGGCAAAGACCATGAAACAAAGGAGAGAAAACTTTTGACAAGTTTAATTTTTTTCCATGGAAATGTGTCAGTTTAATGAATGAAACTCATGTGTCTTGAGTTTCTTTTTTAATGTTAGGATTTTGTTAAGGTAGGATGACATGATTTCTTTTCATTTTAACATTATTCAGAACCCAAAGCCTTTTACCTCAATTACAAAGAACAACTCTAAATAACATAGAATTGCCAGTTATTCATAAATGTTTTGTGATAAGATTTCAAACTGTATAATTATTAAAAATAAATTAATTACAAATTCACTCAACTGTACAACCAGCCATAGTCTAGATCTTCCAAAGAATAATTCACCTACCAAATTTTGAAACTGTCAATGCAGATAATTGACAGTAAAATGAATAACTGCAAAAAATTCCTCAGATTGGGTATTTCTTGCATTTTCATAAAAATTCCCTGCAAAATCGTATCTAAAGTCAGATAGCATCTAATATTCTTAAGATATGAGAATTTAGAGCATTTAGGTTTAATTTCTAGAAGCATTAAATTGCGTAGGGGGAATTTTGCCATATTTCCTTTAACTATCTTTTAATTCAACCTTTAACTATATTTTTTAACTTGCTTTCTTTGCTCTTCCTAAAGGAGATTTAGACAAAAGGTGCTATTAACAAGACACTGCTTTCTCTTTCATTTCTGTCTTTTAAAGATAAGAATCCCATGTATGTTCTTGTTCAAAAACTTATTCGATGTTTAACGGTAGATTTCAGATCGCGGTTAATCTGAGCGTGGAACGCTATGCTCTGGTGTTTGGCATCAACACCTTCATCGCCCTGGTGATTCAGACCATTATAACTGTGATCGTAGTGGATCAGAGAGGGCTCAACCTGCCAATCAGCATTCAGGTAAGCTATGGTACTTCCGTTTTCCTCTCATGTAGTTGGTGGGACTATAGTAGGTAATCTCAAAGGTTTTTTCAACCTTACCACTGCCAACATTCAAATTTCTTGAATTCTATAGCTATGCAAGTTTTAAAATAAGCAATTCCTTAATTATTATAACACGCCAAGTATTTTTTGAGTAATAATCACAATAGGTCAGCATTTACCTTTGGCTCCTAAAATGTCATTGGGTAACACTGGTCGTTGTGTCCCCCATATGTCTCCTCTTCCTCCCACCATCCAGTTCCAAGGTTTACAGAGAGTCAACTGCAGAACTCAGTTCCCTCTTCCCTACTCCACTTAAAATTAGTCTAGTTTCACATTTTACATATGGATCTGAAAAAAGGGGAGATAAGACAAGTAGGAAGTAACCTCAATGTCTAAAATTAATTCTTGGAGACATTACATATAGCATTGCACCATCCTCAAATCATAGACACATAGATCAGTGATATTCGGTGTTTTTTTTCGCTATTAGTGACGTTAGCTAGGATCTGAACCCAAGCAACCCTGGCTTCAGAGCCCACACTTTTAGGTACTGCATTGCTTACATCTTCATACCTGGTTCTTCTAAGATGGGAGAAGAAAGTATTGTGCAAATCTAAATCACCCATATTAAGATCCTGGGTCTCAGTTACCCCATAATCCAAGCAAATCAACAGCATCACTATGTGTTACCAATGCCATACACAGACAGATTTTATGTGTGTCTAATTAATTGTATTTATTTTTCTCCAGTTTTTAGTTTATGGGAGTTATTTTGCGGTCATTGCTGGAATTTTCCTAATGAGAAGCATATACATTATCTATGCGGCCAAATGCCAAAAGAAGATGCAGAGCTCTGCTACAAGTCAGAATCCATATGTACCACACCCAGAGGAACCAGGGGATGTCATCATGGGAACAAAGCTCTAATCTTATGTCAACCGTTACAGCCTCTGAGTGAGGGCTCTGCTGGTCACAAAGCCACTAAGTGCCATAAATTGACATGCCTCACAAGTGTGGTTTCCAATGATCCTTTTCAAAACCAAAACAAAATGTCAGCTTTATACCAGATATCTATGTGCCCAGCTGAACTGGATGCAGTCAACAGGGCCCATCGTCTCGATGAAACAACCTATGTTGGGGACCCCAGTGAACAACAATGACTGGAAAATTCTGGTTCTGATCACTTGCAAAGACATGCAAATGGCATGAAAAGAAAACATGAGAAAGCTCCAGCCATCCTAGAGTTGATGTTTCCCGTTTGTGAGCAGAAACACTAACTGGACTGACCCTATTGCTTGGCTTAGACATTTGTTTTATCTTACCAAAACAGGCAACGCATTGGGCATGTTTGTCATGTGTGCCATTTTTCTTCTTTTTCCATTAAGTATATTTCTGTATCACTTATGGTTCTCTGAGAGAATTACAAGCTTTGGTCCCATTTCTAAGGACTCCTCTTCAATCCTGATAACATAGCATCAACTATTATTTGATAATATTGCCATTTAATTGTTTCATGATTATTTTTTATTTTGTGCTCAGCTGAGCTGTGTTGTTGAAACTCTACCTCAGGGATAGCTTCAGACACTCCTGTGTGTCCACAGAATGACATTCATGTCAATTCCCAGTGGCCCTACGAGAGTTAATGAGCTTTCTCTCTACCATGACCCCAGGGAGGTGTTTTAATGCTGTGTCAGTGTGGTGTCTGTCTAAAACAGAAAAACTGAAACAGAAATTTCCAGGGGTTTCTAGAAGTATTTGTAAATAAGAAAACACTGATGGGGGCACCCCTAATTTTTAAATGGCAGAGATTGCTAAATAAAATAATGTGTGCAAAAATATTAAAGAGCCTTTCTAATTTTTTGATGAATTGTGCTGAAAATTGTCTGCACTTTGAAACTTCAATAGAGGGTGCATTGAGCAGTCTGCCACTGGGAGTAAAGAATGCTATTCAAGACTTGTATTTAAAATATATTTTTCTCCAAATCCCAAAATTCAATCACTGGACTGAAAATAAAATTCAGCCCAAAAGCCAACACACTCACTTAGCGGAGAAAACTAATAACATTCCTACACACATCAAAAACAAGGAAAGGAGGACCAGTATTATCCTTCTTACTTAACTTGCTGTACTGAAGGCATTAACCAACACAATTAGACAAGCAAAAAAAATTAGAAGTCAGAAATTGGAAAGGAGGAGGCAAAATTATCACTATTCCTGAGGCTGGAAGCCTATACCCAAGAGACTCAACGAAAAACCAAGTTAGTGGTATAGGAAGTAAATATATCAAACCAACAGCTTTCATATTACAGCTATTTAGAAGATACATAGGTGTAAAATACCCCGTTTCTAGTAGCACAAAAATAATATGATTTCTAAGATTACATTTAATTACTTAATAATAAATGTGTAAGACATATATGAATACACCTGAAAACACTTTTAAAGATGGGAGCTATTTTAAGTGCAAAAATTAGATTAAATTATTTGCAGAAAATAAAATCCTACTCTAAACTTTTGATTTCA